ACTCTGTGGGGGACACGGAACTCCTAACGCCCGCCCCACTGCTGTCCCCGCAGCCACAATGAAAGGCGGAACACCTTCCTGCACCCAGTGACGGGACAGATCCCCGAGGACACCCCAAGGCTTGGCTTGCAAAAGTAGGTCAGRTCCCGATCCCCTTGGTCCCGAGGGGGTTGGGATGGGGGTGATGGGGCTCTGTGGGGCGGGAAAGGTGGGGGGACAGCTCCGGTGGGGCGGAGAAACGCGCTGATTCGGCTCTCTGGTGTCGCAGACAGAGCTCGGACATGTCCAGCAAAGCGGCCAGCAAGCGGCCGGCCACCGTCCCCAGCGAGCCCCCCAACCACGCCATGGTGTCGGAGGCACCGCCGGAGCGTCCTGGAGGCCGGGTGGGTGCCCAGGGCCGGACGGGGAGCCGGGAACCCGCAGGGCAGGCTCTGAGCGTCTCCTCTCGCCCCGCGCAGGCTCCGCGCTCATCCCGCAAGGGCATCGCCTTCGGGAAGCGCTCCAACTCCATGAAGAGGAACCCCAACGCCGCCGTCACCAAGAGCGGCTGGCTCTACAAGCAGGTACCCGCCGAGCCCCCCATTCCCGGCCCCGCAGACCCCCGGGAACTCCCGCTCCCACCGCCCCTCTCTCGCAGGCCAGCTCGGGGGTCAAGCAGTGGAACAAGCGCTGGTTCGTGCTGGTGGATCGCTGCCTCTTCTACTACAAAGGTTTGTCACCTCCCCGCGGTCCGTGCCAGCCCCAGTGCCACCAGCCGGGCGTGTCCTGCGCTCCCAGGCTTTTCCCACGCTCGGAGGAGCGCGGCCGGACSGTTTTTCCGCGCCGTGGGGTTCATCCCGAGCTTTCCCCGCCTCCCTGGCAGCTCCCGGGGCTCGGCCATCAATAATTGAGGAGGTTGGGCTGTTTGCGAGCCGAGCGGAGCTGCGGAAGCAGCAACAGGCGGGGAGGCGATCCCACAGGTGGGATCGGGATGCGGGGGCGGTGCCGGGGGGGTCCCCGCGGGGCTGTGACGCCGCCCTTCGCCCCCGCAGACGAGAAGGAGGAGAACATCCTGGGCAGCATCCCCCTGCTCAGCTTCCGCGTGGCCGCCGTGCAGCCCTCGGACAACATCAGCAGGAAGCACACCTTCAAGGTCAGCGGAGGGGACGCGGGTGGCACCGCGGTGGCGCTGGGGTGGCATCGCGGTGGCGCTGGTGACGCTGGCTGTGTCCCTGCTGCTCTTCTGGCTTTCTCGGTGGCGGGGCACGGAGCGCTGCTGGGATGACCCCCGCCCCACCCTCCTCGCCATGGGTACCTCTGCTGGGGAAACTGAGGCACGCGTGGCACAGAGCGGTGTCCCCAGTGTCACCACCCCGCTCTGCAGATCCCAGGCTCTCTCCCCGCTCTGCTTCCCACCCTCTCCAGCGCTGCCCTCACCGGCCTCGCCCATCAGCTGCTCCCGGGGCCGGGCACGGAGCTGTCCCCAATCCCAGCCCCGTTTGAGCTGCGTGACAGCCAAGTGTCACCCGGAARGGGCGAGGCTGTGACGAGTGGCTGGAGAGGGGAGCAGGGCGAGGTGACGGCGGCTGCTGCTCCCCCTCACCCGTCCCTGGCAGGGGCTGAGCTTCCCTGGCACTTTTTGGCACCTTTGGCATCCCCGGGCACCCGTTGGGTCACTTTGACAATCCCTTGTTGGTCCCAGTGTCCCCTCCCCGTGTCCAGAGCCAGCGCGGGGATCCTCACAGGGCACTCCCGAGGAGTTTTCCCAGCCTAAGGGAGGGATTTTTCYAGCTGATCCCCTTAAAATCTGGATTTAGGCTGAGTGGGGTGTTGGGGTGAGGGATGGCAATGGTTCACACAGGTGACAGCAAAAAGGTGACCTGGCGGTGTCTGGGGAAGGGTCTGGAGAATCCTGAGGGAGCTGGGAAGGGTCTGGAGAATCCTGAGGGAGCTGGGAAGGGGCTCAGCCTGGAGCAAAGGGGGATCAGGGGGGACCTTGTGGCTCTGCACAACTCCCTGACAGGAGGGGRCAGCCGGRGGGGATTTGGGATCTGATCCCAGGAACAGGGACAGGAGGAGAGGGAACGGCCTCAGGCTGGGCCAGGGGAGGCTCAGGGTGGACATCAGCGGGAATTTCCTCATGGAAAGGGCGGCCAGGCCTGGGAAGG